TTGCTTTTTCCAATGCTGCTTTTGCTTCGTCTTGTATTTCTTTGATTCTTTTCACAAATTCCTCCGCCGACTCGTTTCTCGATTCCATCCGTTGTTCCACTCCCTTCCATGGGTGATATCCGTTGAAATGCTGAGGGCGTGCTCACAAGTGAATCTACTATGAAAGTAAACCCAAATATAAACACGTTCACACTCCTCGTAATCAGCTTCTCAGTGTGTGAAAGATGCGAGGGCTTCGGGGTGGACAGAACACCAGTATCACAACTCTCAATAGACGCAGATCCAATAGTCGCGGAAGACGAAGTCGACGACAAGGATATATATATAGCAAACAGTGGTGTCTCAACCAATATCTTCTATACGAACACAACCAACACTAATCCAATCCACAACCAACAATATAACTAGTCAGAACTTAATACGAAGTATTAAGATCCCTTGTAGCGACAGCGTCTAGATGGTGACGCAAAGCCCAAATATCAAGTCGACGCACTGCCAACCGATACAACCAATATACTGAGTCGACGCACTGCCAACTAGTAATCCAAAATGTCGAGTCGACGCACTGCCAACTGACACAACCAATAGTACTGAGTCGACGCACTGCCAACTAGTAAACCAAAATGCCGCGTCGACGCACTGCCAACTAACAGCCAATATCCAATGTCCAAAACCCGAGCACAACTTGTCGACGCACTGCCAAGCAAGAAGTGTGGAACCAAAGTTCTCAAGTCGACGCACTGCCAACTGACCAAACAACCCGAGCACAACTAGTCGACGCACTGCCAAGCTAGAGGTGTGGAACGATCTCAACAAAGCCCAAAGGCAACGACACTAAATGCCGCGACAATACCAGATGCGGCGAATCCGACTTTCTGATATCTCAACTCAAACTCAAATCACAGTAGCTACAAGTGCTCGGGGAGCAACTCGTCGCGACCGGGCAGGGGTAGCAGAACTTCTTAGGGTGGAATCACGCGACACGCAAATTGTACAAAACAATCTGAAATGAGGGTGATTCACAGTCCGGGGGAAAGCTTTCTAATACAAAGAAACAACGTGCTACTTATACTGCCTACGACACTGCTTAGTAAAGTCCTGTACAACTGCATAGTAGCTATGCTATCTAAGATCGGTTGCCTTTTAGGGTAATTGAAAAGTTGAACGATCGGACAGGTCCTGAGCGATCAGGACCCCGCCCCACTGTCCATATGATACTTTTGATGTGGGTCAACCCGCCGCGTCATACTTTTGGAATACGACGTGTTGGATTGGCCAACGGGTATGTCTTGGCAAGTGAGACCAACGTGGGCGCCCCAAGAAGCCGTATGGCCCTAGGCACGCCAGTCGTTCCCCACTTGGCTTGGTTCACGGATCTATCCGTGTCGATTTTAGTGTGTTTGGGTATGGGCGCGACTCGCCGTGACACTTGGAAGTGTCACCGCGACACATCCACAATGTCCCGTGATCGAATGGATCCTGACATGTGACAAGTCCTTGCCGTGGCATGATCTGAGGAAACGTCCAACTCAAAACCGGGAGTTGCCGCGACAAGATGGTTTAAGTCTCGTAAGGTCAAGTCCTGTCCAGTAGCGTTGTATTATTGAGAACATCGCCCATTGCTCAGCCCTTCAGCCCAAGTTCCCATCCGCAGAGAATGACCCTTTTTGAGAAGTCGACGCAACGACAGATCCCTTTTTGGGGAATGGTCGCGGTCCAAGCGTTCGTCACTAATAGCCCTGAGCCTGGTGTAGACTCATAAGACCAATTCCACAGTAGTGGTCTGACTGCCTTGCTATCGTCGACACTATCCACAGTCGTTGACTGGGCGGTAGACCCTTAAGTCCTACTGAGCGCAACACTGTCATCCGCGACACGATACACCAAGTGGTTCAGGAGTAAACTCTGTAAAAGCGCAAAAATACGCCCTTACAGAGCTGGTGCAGAGCGCGTCTGGTAGCCAGCCTATCACCGCCTTGAGAAGTTCTGTTATCCCTGCCCGGTTGCAACGAGTTGCTCCCTGAGCACTTGTAGCTACTGTGATTTGAGTTTTGTTTTGAGACATCAGAAAGTTGGATTCGCGGCATTTAGTGTCGTCGCCTTTGGGCTTTGTTGAGATCATTTCCACACCTCTAGCTTGGCAGTGCGTCAACTAGTTGTGCTCAGGTTGTTTTGGTCAGTTGGCAGTGCGTTGACTCAGTACTTTGGTTGTGTCAGTTAGCAGTGTGTCGACTCGATATTTGGGCTTTGCATCACCATCTGGACGCTGTTGCTACAAGGGACCTTAATACTCCGTATTAAGCTCTGACTTGTGATATTGTTGGTTGTGGTTGAATAAGTGTTGGTTTTGATTGTATAGAAGATATTGGTTGAGACACCACTATTTGCTATCTATAAATTCTTGTCGTCGACTTTGTCTTCCGCGACTATTGGATCTGCATCTATTGAGAGTTGTGATACCGGTGCTCTGTCCACCCCAAAGCCCTCGCATCTTTCACACACTGAGAAGCTGATTACAAGGAGTGTGAATGTGTTTATATTTGGGTTTACTTTCATAGTAGATTCACCTGTGAGCAGGCCCTCAGCATTTCACCGTCATCTCCTTTTGCACTTTTTTCTGCCTGGGAGTCAATCCCTTGACAGCTCCTCCCAATGATGGCTTTGCGCTAGCGTTGTTGCTGGCAGATGTGGTCACTGGAGGGGAAGGAGCTGAACCAGCAGTTGCCGAGGAAAATGTCACTGATATGAGACTGGGAGAAGCAACGGCCGATACCTTGTTGGTGATTGAGTTCATTGTTGAAGTACCACAAACAGAAGCGACTTCAATGAGCGGGGCCTCATACAGCAAGTCAGCAATTTCATCCAGAATGGGACCAACATGTACTGTGTCTCCCTCGGTGTTTGCCATGTTACCAAAATTGTCCAGCTCCTCGACAGGACTTGCAGCTGGTATAGGCAGCGCTCCAACAAGCCGGGCTTCAAGATACACGTTGTGTTGCCTCAGACGGCTGTTCTTAGCTTTGGATTGACGCTGGCACAACTCAATCTTGTTCAAACGCGCCTGCAATGCCTGGGGTCCCGGGAAAGTTCGAAGATCTTCTTGGCGACACCATTCGTCATGGTGATGTTGAATGTCATACTCCGAATACAGTGAGTACCCAGATTGAGGTTGAGAGGTGGGCGGCACGTTGGGGGATGTGACAGAGTGTCCAAACGCAGGCTGGCAGTGCAAGTACCTGTGTGATCTTGTCAGATCCCAGCATCCTCACGTTGACCGGAGAGAATGCACCCAGGTGGAGCACCAACGCCCAAGTGGCACCATGTGTCCATATGACAAGAGAGCGGTACAACTGCATGGCTAGTCAGATGGGAAGTAAAAACATGGGCGCTCACAGACAGAGTGAAGCCTGAGCTCTATTCGGAGTCACCTGGGCTCCGAGAGAATATGCAATACAGGTGGAAAGAGCGTCGGTGTAAGACAATGAGAGCGGATGCATAGGATGAAGGAACGTGAGACAAAATGCCATAGAAACGGCATGGAGGTCTCCGCTGTGCACAGTGAGCAGGGCCGCAAAAGTTGAAATTGGGAGCACTTGCCACATTTGAATCGACCGCCAGACATAAGCTCATTGCATCCCCTGTCAATAGACATCCAGCTTGATAATATGTACTCAAAAGGGTGACTTGGGACTTGAGCAAGGGCTACGGCGCGCAGAATCATGACAAGAAAGGAGAAGATGGGTTGCACAGGCTGAGTTCACTACACATGGCTAACCTCGTCTAACCACTTGGTGGTTAGACGTGCGTGAGAGCATAACTAGCTAATTAAACACGTGTAGACTCTGTGGAGGTTACTCAATCAGCTCCGGTCTTGCAACTGGGAGCTGCCATGTGGTGGCTAGTGAGCTAATCTCTGATGGGCTAGAGGTCTAGGTATGGCTCGCTCCGGGCTCAAACATTACTTGCAACACGGAGCCACCGAGGCGGCTAGGGACCCCCGGAATGCAGTGACCCCCCGTGGCACCCCCGCGGTACAGTGGGCCCCGTGGCACCCCCTGCAGGGGCATGTATATAGAATGAGCAGACAAAACAATCAATGAGTTGACAGTGGACCCAATGCAGCCCATGATGTCAGCCTACCTACCCTGCCAGCCAAAAAATGAACAAATCACACTTTCTTTTTAACCCTACATGCCTGGATTCTGCAGAAAATATTGCAGAGTTTTGATATCCCAGCCCCTGCCAAAGCATCAGGGAGTCACACGGCTGTAGCTGCAGACCATCCCCAGACACAGCCTCCAAACTCCTGGCAAAATGAAGGATAATTATGCTGCATGCTATGACCACAGTGAGAATAGATAGATCAAAATATGATGCAATGCACCCCTACCCCTGCTCCTGCGGTTGACCCTACAGTGGGCCCTGTGGCACCCCCTGTGGCACCCCCGTGGCAGACCCCGCCAAATGATGGGATCAAGTGCATCACCAATCCCGTTGTGCAGGGTGCATTTTGGGCTTTCTAAGCTCAAATTCATGCTTAACTATTGTATTTACCTGTAGAAATGATACCAGGATGATTTGGGAAGGCTTCCATTTTTTTGGGCGGAAGATCACGTGATTATGCGCCCATTGTCTGCCACAGCATGCAATGGATCAAGCAACACCTCCAAAATCATGCCGGATGGTGCACAAAAGGTGCCCCCAAAAGTCACATGATAATGCACCCACTGCCCACCATGGTGTGTGGGGGGGCAGTAGCGCCCCCGCCAACCCCTGCTAGCCATTTTTGATAATTTTCATGTGGTGCATCACATGATTTTTTACCCCCGCCATCAGCCGCCATCCCGCCCATTGGATGTGTCATGTGATTCATTTTTTCTTTTTGTGCCCACCTCCCTGCTCCCAATGATAAATCACATGATATGTACAGACCCCCCCCTGCACCCCCCCTGCTGACCCTGCATATGCCCCTGCCCCCAAATGGACCAAATGCCCCCCTCGGGCCCCACAGGGGGGTGCAACCGGGTGATGGCGGTGGTAACTGAGGTGAGGGAAGGCTGACATTGAGGTCTCATTTTATGGACTGAAGGGTCGGCAGAACGGCCGCAGCCTTGGAATTTGGCGTTCCACGCTGACTCGATGCAATGAAGTCAGCAGGCCGTTCTAACGAGACAAGCTGTTCTGTTCCATATTCGCTGTGTTTTGCCTATTTCCAGCTGGGATGGTGTTGCAGTGATACTGACATATTGGGAAAACAACGATGCTAGTCAGATATATTCACTCTGATAGAAGATCTCGTTCGTCTGAGCGGCCGGTGCGATGCTCTTCACGAACAACCGGTTGGCAAGAAACCGAATCCAGAACGATCTCTATCGCCCTACGCAAGACACCAAGAAGACTCACTCTCGGCAGCCCTCTTCTTGATATGCTGTGTCCAGGGATGTCATTTAGGCCCCGGCCCCAGTTTCAAGATCACCCTAGAAACCTTTTTCTTCGCACTCAAACTCTCTCCCTCGATCGGTTCCTCCTCAATGCTCGACAGCCCGCTGTCCGAGCTTGGATCCTCCTCCACAAGCGTTGTCGACGTAGGCTGCGTGCTGCTGCTACTGATGCTTGAAACGGGCTTCTTCGCTGTCCGATCTCGCAATACCCGCGAGGTGGGAGCAGGTGCAGCTTTGGCAGACAGTGAGACGGGACTTCTGTCGAGATCAGCAAACAGCTCCAACGTGCGGTCGAGCCAAGGATGGGCATTCTTAGGCGGAAGAGAAGGTCGGCCGCCCCGTCGTTTCTTCGTAGCTTTCTCCAGCTGTAGGATCTTCAGAATAAGAAACCCCATGGTAAGGGATAGACACACCAGAGTCAAGTTGTCCGCACTCCACCATTCTTCGTTATCGGGTCCATCTGCGAGTCCGACGAGATGGGCCATCGTTCCACTGATCAACGCCCTATCACTGTACCCACCCTCCAGCACACTAATAAGTCTGCCCTGGGCATAACGATTGCTCAGCGCGCAAGCATCCTTGGCGAAACGGTGGTAGAATGAGGTTGGCATTCGTCTATTGTGTCGTGACATCGAGGGCATCTCGTGCTCAGACGCATCCAATCCACAGCTTACGCCTGGTCAATAGGGTCCGTCTTCGAGTCGATTGGTAGCGCACCTAATGAAGAAAAGCACATCCTGGCCGGGTCCGCCAGTGCTCTTCAAGAAGTCCTCCGCTTTATGTAGGATCTTGGAGTAGTGGTGGCTATAGAGCTCGTCCCAGTGTTCTGGAGTCGAATATGTTTGGAGATGAACGTTCTCAATGTGCTGCCCGTGTGGCCCGTGTAGGGAGACAGATGCGGCTTGCACGAGCGACAGCTTTCCATCCTGTGAACAATGAGCCATCGCGAAGCACGCGATATCAAAAGACTTCACCTCACACGGATAAGACAGTATGTCATGCAAAGATCCGTAGTACATCTGCGGGCCGCGCTTTGAATTCGGCGCGCCAGCTTCCTCCTCTAGCGTCTGCCGATACGTCTCTTCGTTGATCTGCCATACAATCGACTGGGTTCCATTGCCTATCGTCATCAGTGACTCTGCATGCGCCGCACTACCGCTCCCACCGTGATGAAGGTCAATGTCGAAGATCACGATGCGGTTGATTCCATGCTGTAGATAGGCTGCGGAGCTTCAGAGAGAGCGCGAAGAACAAGGCAAGTCCAGTACCATGAGCAGCAGCGACAGCCACATTGTTGACGAAACAGAACCCCGAGGGGGAGTCCTCTCCACAATGGTGCCCTGGCGGCCGAATCGCAACGAACGCACGTTTCTCAGAGGATTCGTCCCCAAGCACAGAATCGACCGCCTCGCAGACCGTTCCCAGCGCGCCTTGCATCGCAACGAGCGACTCCGGGCAAACTGACCGCAACTGAGCCGGGGTTAGAGGGGAGGCTGAGAAACCTACGGTACAGATCGCCTTGCGCTAGGCCCTCTGGTATCTCAGACCCGCCTGCGTCGATCTTGCCCTGCGATTCGCGCACCCAGCGCACGAGCTTCTCGAGATACACGTCCCCGTCGATGTCTCCGTGCACGTATTTCACAGCTGGGTGCGTGAGGAGGTCTAACGCCGCCGCGCTATGCACGACGCGCGCTGGAGGTGGTGCGGACGAGGTTGAGGCGAGGTTGAGGCGGTCAAGCTGGGACGCGAGATCGTCTGGATCGAGGGAGGCGTGAGACGCGATGCGGGCCCTGTCGTACTCCAGACGCGCCATGGCAGCGGAAAGTCCCGCGGTGACAGCGCGAAGTCGTTCGGGCCGTTCGACGACGTTCGAGGTATCTCTTGAGCGGATGAATTTGTGTTTGAAGCAAGCCTCTTGCAGGAAGATCGCGGGCCTTGAACACTTCGTCGGTTGCATGCTTTTAGATTCAACCATGACGGTTGTATGTGTGGGAGGGTCGGAGCTGAGTACCGACTGCGATCAAGCAATGGATTTGGGTCTGGAAAGGAGCAAGATAACGTGACATAACGCGTCTGTCACAAACTCTCCGCTTGCCAGGTCCAGCCGTTCCTAATCACGCTCAGGTATCACAACCGGACAAGGGTGCAGTATAAACACAAGAGCTTACGAGTACAAATACCACTATTTCAGGCGAATCGTTACACGCAGTTGCCTGGCCAAGAACCCTCGGAAAGTACACTCAAAGGAGGATATCAGGGCATATGAATCATCGCAATCTGGGACGAATGACGAAGTGGGCGAGAAGAGTCCCTTTAGACTTGAGTCCATGCAAAGTCGGTGTATCACGAATTCTGCATTATCATTGTATCGAAGAAAACTTCCCTGGCGCTCGTGTAGCATGCTGAAGCGGCCAAGTGGCAAGTAGCTATCAGCTGTCCAAGCTCAACTCTCTCTTCTACATTAATCCCACTTGGGAACCTTCATCGTGCCATGCTCCATAAGGTGGGTGTGGAATTTGAAGGCGTTCTGGATGGCATATCAGCTATAACGTTCGGGTATCAGGAAGGTCGGAAGGCTTACCCTCAGCATATGCGGTTCATGGCCACGACCAGCAGCCAGACACTCGTGCAGCGACCGCTCGTAGTACTGCGAATGTCACGGTGAGTTCACTCTCCATCCCGAACAGAGAAAGCTACCCACATCCATCAGCAAGTCCCGGTAATCCGGATGCGCACATTTGTTGATGATCACCGGTGCTCGTTCGCGGGGCGAGAGACCACGGAGATCGGCCAGACCCTGCTCAGTCACCACCACGTCCAAGTCGTGCTCTACGTGCGCTCAGCCCAAAAGTACGCAAAGAGCACGGCGCCACCTGCCTGTCTGGTCGATATGAGACGCGAAGGGAACGATGCAGCTCAGTCCAGTCGGGTCAGTCTTCGTTGGGCGACTACCAAGCCTTTCAGCGTCATGGAAAGCAAACTTGGATGGACAACGCACGTCGAAGGGGTGTGCATGATAGACAACTTGGCGTTTCTCAAGAAGTCGGCAGAGCCACCCAGTCCATTCAACATCCTGATGAGTTGTTCAGCGCAGGCAACAGATGTTGTCGTGTAGACATACCGAGAGCCAAGCGCGCAGGTCGAGTTCGCGTGTCCATACTGGTTCCGTTAGATCACCAGTCGAGGGTGGTCGAAAAAGGAAGAGACTCACGATATCCACTTCAAGCGGGGTGTTCATGGCAATGATCCCCAGACGCCTGATGATTTCCGGAGAATTGGCTACCTGCTGAGAGCGGAGAAGTAGTCGGTCCTTGTAGTTGGCCCAGTCTGGTCACATGCATCGTCAATACTGGTCACAATCACACACGAGGATGAGCGCGCACTAGCGTAGAAGTAGTCGAAACTACACGGAAATCGTCAGCAGCGGCATCAGGCGATTCAGTGCTTGGCAACTCACCCTTCGGGACTGAACTTGATGGAAGTAGCCGTCGCGAAATCGAGCTTGCCCGAGTCGAAGAACCGGAGGAAGGTGTCTGTTCCAGTCGGCTGAGCACCGCAATGCACAGAACCATGCGACGACGCACCTTGTAACACCTCAGTCCACACCATAACCTTGTCGAACGGCCCATCCGCAAGTCCACCGATGATCGAGTTCGCAACGTTTCCAATGCCAGATTGGAGCGGCAGCAGGGTCCGTGGCAAGCGACCAGCGTCGACTTCCTCAGCAAGGAACTGGATGAGGTGACCTGCGATGGCTTTCGAGTCCTCAGTCTAGTCGAAGCATCCTCAGTCCCAAGCAACGGCGAGCAGAAGCGAAGGTGGGAAACTTGCCTCGGGGGAGTTCTGGCCGGTGTTGTCCGGAAGATGCGATTCGACGATGGCGACAACGCGGTCCGGGTCGATCGCAATGGCGGTCTTGCCGATGCGGTCCTCAGGGTGGCTGATCAGCTGGCGCCAAGGTCAGAGGTGGAGTTAGTCGGCGATAGGACACTGGACTCACGTATGGCTGACGGTGCGGCGGAATGAAGGACTGCGATATGTCATGCAGACCTTCAAGGTTGGGCAGATGCGTGTTCACTTCCTGGGCAGAGTGTGAGAGCTTTCAGTCAACATCATATCAGTAGGACGCACGATGATGATCTTTTCCGCGGTTTCCAGAATCTCGGGCGTAGCTCCGACAGACGCTCCTGGTACGATGTGTCCATCTTCGGTGATTGCGGTGGCTTCGATAATCGCCCAGTCCAAGTGTTTCTTGGGATCCCCGTGTTTCTTCTTGAGGCTGTAGTACCCGTACGTAAGATCCTGGGGGAACACTGGGCGTTGTCAGCGAACGGGTCGTGCGAAGCTAGAGAGACACGGACTCGACAAGTGCTTATCCGCAAACGCGATCCGTCCAGCGTTGATCCCCTTCGCGACCTCTTTCCCGACTTGATGCGGGTAGCGACGCGCGATCCTGCCATGCCGTCAAGACGCGCTCACGCTTCGAGGGCGCATACGTACATGTCGAGCTTGGCCCACCGATCTTCGACTTCCGGGCCCGTGGAAGCGCCGACGAAGAGGTTAAAGCGCATCTTGGACTGGAGGTTGTTCTGCTCGACGAGGTCTGCGAGGGCCTGGAACACAGGGACGTCAATTACAACAACCGATGGGAGCGTAGCGTCAGTAAACGCACAGTGGGGACACGCTTGGGATACCCGACGCCGGTGAAGCCCGACCATCCGACCTGCAATCCATGAGCGTCCTCCTTCGGAACCAATGTCATAGAGACACACGTAGTCGTCGTCCTGGGACAGCAGTCAGCATCTCGTGCGTCGGCTCCCAAGTAGGCACACGACACACACCTTGAAAAGCGGGGCGAGATCTTCCGGCTCTGCCAGCTTCTCGAGGAACGTCGAGCGGCGGACACGCTCACGCAGCGTCGACGAAGCCATGCCGGGCTTGAACGAGACGGGGATCTGCCTCACACGCGCAGTAGATCGCATGGTGGGGGCAGTTGGCGGAGAGGAAGGTGTGTCGTCCGGGGTGTGGGGAAGTTTGGATTCGGTTCTCCACTCGGGGCCCAGTTATTTATTTTGGCCACATGCCGAAGTGGGTTATAAGTGGGCCCGTGGGCAGCGCGGTCGACGCCGCGGATGGCCGATTTGCGGCACCAGACTAGGCCAAGATCCGGTGATCCATTGATTGCTATGATCAAACGCCGGACTGGGATGAATTGGGAGAAGCACGCCTGTCCAGCAGTCGTTTCAAGGCATTGGGAGGACAGTAACACAGCGAAATTCATTTCCAGAGATGCATATTTAGAAATACAATGGTAGGGTGTTGGATATCTATGTAAGTGGGGGTAAGTGAGATTTTCTCCAATATTTGGACGAGTGTACAATGCTGAAAGTCGTATGGGTTATGCTGCCAAGAAAATTAATCCGAGACGCGGTCTAAACGCCGCTCTGATCCACGATCATCTCCCGCCCATTGGCCCGCACGGACCGCCGCGCAACATCACGCGCCAAAGGTTTTCTCATGTCTGTCCGAGAGTGAGAAGGCGTCGTAATTTCAGAAGATCAATTCTGCCAAAGACACACGCACCGAACGCATCTTCCTCGTCCCGTGCGCCCTTCCCCACGCCCAGGCTCCCGTAATACTCCCGTATGCGCCGCCAGACGCTGTAGCCCATCCCTTCGTACATGTCTATCGCCACGGTGTTCGCACACCGGACAAACAGGTCGACAAAGTATGCGTTGTACCCTACTTCGGAGATAAACTCGAGAAGCGTGGTCATTCTATGCGCCAGGCCAAGGCGGCGGTACTCCGGAGCGACTGTCAGGGCCGTGACATGGCCGTGGAAATCAGACCCGGACCCATCCGCGTTACCCAGAACTGCGTGGTCACATCAAGCGAAGGCACTGCTGGCGGCGAAGCAAAGCACGCACTGTAGCCCATGAGCCGTCCGCTCGGGGCCGCCTGCACATAGCATAGGTCCGGCCAAGTCGAGAGGTAGTTGAGGTAGAACGCGAGGCCGTACTACGCCCGCCATCTCAGCACACGACCTGATATGGGAGGGCAAAAATCACGCACCGTCTCCGTCCACACGTCCAAATTGCTACACGTAAAACACAGCTCGTCAGCGGAAGATGCGGGGAGGAAGAGCGGGCTCTACATGTTGTTGAACTTGAACATATCGTCGGCTTTGAAGGAGCGTAGCACGCTCATCGTAACAGGAATGAAATGGCAAGAGACGGCGAAAAAAAATCGGGAAAGACCGGGCTTGAGGAATGCACGTGGCAGTGTCCCCTGCAACTCCTTTTGGGAATGGACTTACCTTTTCGGGAACGATCCGTGCAGGGTTGCACCCACCAATCACGGGCGCGCTAGCGTGCCAATACACAGAAAAATGCTCGAAAATCGAGCAGCTGACATGTTCGAAGCCACAGCCTCTCTGTGTGGGCGTTGATCAATCCGTTTGAAGGGAGGTCCTGACCGTGTGACAGGGCTATGTAAACACGTGTTAGATTAGCGTCAGACTTTCTTGACTCGAGCATCCATGCCACTCTTCCTCAACCCTGCACGATGGAAACGGGATCGTCTCCAATTGCCTTCACCCCGATCTCGACAGAAACAGCCAAAGCCCCCGCCAAAGCATGCTGGCGAACCCTTGCCAACGGAGATCTGGGAGATCATCATCCGACTTGTGGGCAAGGAGCGCGATCTGTTATCTATGGGACGTGTGTGATCGACCTTCAACGCGCTCGCAATGAATCCGCTTCTCGCCAACAACCACACAACTCCGGATATCTCCATCAGAGTAGACGCGCTGGTGACCCCGCCTCTCCAGGAGATCCTGTTCCTCTCTCTTGGCAATCTTGCTCTGGGACGTGTCTCATTTATGCTGCCCGACAACTCATTGCGTCGGAAACCTGGCTTTATTTCTAAAAGTGTTGCCCGATGCCGTGCCAGGAACTCGAGCAACTGCAGCTCATCTTCCCCTTCCCAGTTACGTGGCGGATGAGGCGCCCACCTCAGTTACCACCGCCATCACCCGGTTGCACCCCCGCGGGGGTCCTACTGGGTACCCTCAGACGTAGCTCTGAGGGTACCCAACAGGTACCCCCCTGCGGGGCCCGCGGGGGGGTTTTGGTCCATTTGGGGCAGGGGCATATGCGGGGATCAGCAGGGGGGGTGCAGGGGGGGGTCTGTACATATCATGTGATTTATCATTGGGAGCGGGCAGGTGGGCGCGAAAAAAAAAAAATGAATCACATGGCACATCCAATGGGTGGGATGGCGGCCGATGGCGGGGTAAAAAAATCACGTGATGCACCGCATGAAAATTATCAAAGATGGCTAGCAGCGGTTGGCGGGGGTTGGCGGGGGGCGCTACTGTCCCCCCGCACACCATGGCGGGCAGTGGGCGCATTATCACGTGACTTTTGGGGGGCACCTTTTGTGCACCATTCAGCATGATTTCGAAGGTGTTGCCTGATCCATTGCATGCTGTGGCAGACAATGGGCGCATAATCACGTGATCTTCCGCCCAAAAAAATGGAAGCCTTCCCAAATCATCCTGGTATCATTTCTATAGGTAAATACACTAGTTAAGCATGAATTTGAGCTTGGAAAGCCCAAAATGCACCCTGCACAATGGGACTGGTGATGCACTTGATCCCATCATTTGGCGGGGTCTGCTGCGGGGGGTGCCATGGGGGGTGCTGCGGGGGGTGCCGCAGGGGGTGCCGCAGGGGGTGCCACAGGGGGTGCCGCGGGGCCCGCTGTGGGGTCAACCACAGGAGCAGGGTTAGGGGTGCATTGCATTATATTTTGATCTATCTATTCTCGCTGTGGTCATAGCATGCAGCATAATTATCCTTCATTTTGCCAGGAGTTTGGAGGCTGTGTCTGGGGGTGGTCTGCACCTACAGCCGTGTGACTCACTGATGCTTCGGCAGGGGCTGGGATATCAAAACTGTGCAATATTTTCTGCAGAATCCAGGCATGTAGGGTTAAAAAGAAAGTGTGATTTGTTCATTTTTTGGCTGGCAGGGGAGGTGGGCTGACATCATGGGCTGCATCAGGTCCACTGTCAACTCATTGATTGTTTTGTCTGCTCATTCCATATACATGCCCATTGGTAAGCTGATCATGCTGTAGGCACAGTCTAATCTTACCCTGTGGATGATACCACACATTAATTACATACCTAATGTCACACTTCCTGTCTGGGACTCATTGAAGTTCATCTGTTCTGTGTTACTTTACAAGCAGTTTGCTTTAGTTGCAACATGAACAGATGTAATAGAGTGGATTTGACATGCCCTGAATTGATTCCTAGGTGGAATATGAGACAATGGATTCACCAGCAAGTTGTCTCACAATAGTCAGAGATTGGTAATATTTGAATTTCAAATTTCATATACAACACTCTGTGCACTCAGAGCTCGTATATTTGCAAGATAGACTGTAGAGACATAGATGGTTACTTTTACTACCTCTGGGGCTGCACACATCCTCGCCATGACCCACTGCCTGCACCCCCGCTGGCACCCCCTGTGGCACCCCCGCTGGCACCCCCGCTGGCACCCCCGCTGGCACCCCCGCTGGCACCCCCGCTGGCACCCCCGCCAGTCTAGCACCCCCCGCCGCACCGGTGCCTTGCTCCTGTGATTTTCTTATATGGAAGATTATGTAAACTGACAGCTCGGAACACGTCAAGTCACTAGCCAATCAGAACCTGTATAAACGTCATACCTAAGTGTTTACTGCTCTTCTAACACTGTTCTTACAGTTATGCAGCTGAAAACCATCGGAATAAGGTCTCCATATGCTATTCTTGTTGAATATGTAGGTACTTCATATCCTTTGTCCACCTAAAAATCGAAACATGAAAACAGTTCACCATTGCTGAAGGTTCCTATGTAGACAATGGTTCAACATGGTTCACTTTGGGTATGGCAAAAAATATTTTTTCTACACACAAGCACTTCAATACAGCTGAATGATATACTCTTTGGCAGTGTCTGAAACAAATTCTGAGAGCCCTGGACCCTGGAACCATTCAAAAACTTGAAATGAGTCCGAAAAATAGGGTCTTGATAAACATGACATATGGGCTGGTTTGAAGAGACATGGGCCACCGGTCATGTTGAATATAGTATTTTACAATGTTTCGGTGCCCTACCTCTCATCACATGGCCTCATTTCCGACTAAGAAGCGCACATACACACTCAAGCTCATAAAATCAATTGTCACCCAGAAACAAGAGCAGTGAAGTTGTTTCACTGGGATTGGGTAAAGGTTACCTAGAAGTCACTTGGGTTGCAGTACAGAAGCTTTGGAAAGTGATTTTGTAGTTGATCCACATTTGGTAGGCTGGCATATGCTTGTGCACCCCCACGGCACCCCCCGCGGCACCCCCCGCGGCACCCCCTGCGGTTGACCCCCCCCCCCCAACCCCTACAAGGATTTAATTGACAAATGTCCTGCTCAATCCATTGTAAGAGTCTACAGTATTATTGGATTCAGTAAAGGGCCCAAATGGTGTGTAGACAAGAAGTATGAAATCCGGAAATCAACAATTATGACACCACCACGGAATATGCTGCAAATGGAGAGAGAAATTTGAGCGCAGACAGACTACCTGAAGCAAACAGACAGAGAAAAGAAACATTAGCCATTTCTCGTTGATGATGTTGGCTGTCCCTGGAGCATGTACTTGGGAGATTTGCCTAACAAATCAAGTTGCGCATTTTTCAAATTTTTAGTTTGACCTGACAGCTTGAGCGGACCATGCCAAAATGAACCAAGTCATAAATATCAGTGCCCCAAGCCAAGCCAAAAGATTTAGGTAATATTGCACAGTTTTGATATCCCAGCCCCTGCCAAAGCATCAGGGAGTCACACGGCTGTAGGTGCAGACCACCCCCAGACACAGCCTCCAAACTCCTGGCAAAATGAAGGATAATTATGCTGCATGCTATGACCACAGCGAGAATAGATAGATCAAAATATAATGCAATGCACCCCTAACCCTGCTCCTGTGGTTGACCCCACAGCGGGCCCCGCGGCACCCCCTGTGGCACCCCCTGCGGCACCCCCTGCGGCACCCCCCATGGCACCCCCCGCAGCAGACCCCGCCAAATGATGGGATCAAGTGCATCACCAGTCCCATTGTGCAGGGTGCATTTTGGGCTTTCCAAGCTCAAATTCATGCTTAACTAGTGTATTTACCTATAGAAATGATACCAGGATGATTTGGGAAGGCTTCCATTTTTTGGGCGGAAAATCACGTCATTATGCGCCCATTGTCTGCCACAGCATGCAATGGATCAAGCAACACCTTCGAAATCATGCTGAATGGTGCACAAAAGGTGCCCCCCAAAAGTCACGTGATAATGCGCCCACTGCCTGCCATGGTGTGCGGGGGGACAGTAGCGCCCCCCGCCAACCCCCGCCAACCGCTGCTAGCCATCTTTGATAATTTTCATGCGGTGCATCACGTGATTTTTTTACCCCGCCATCGGCCGCCATCCCACCCATTGGATGTGTCATGTGATTCATTTTTTTTTTTTCGCGCCCACCTGCCCGCTCCCAATGATAAATCACATGATATGTACAGACCCCCCCCTGCACCCCCCCTGCTGATCCCCGCATATGCCCCTGCCCCAAATGGGCCAAAACCCCCCCGCGGGCCCCGCAGGGGGGTACCTGTTGGGTACCCTCAGAGCTACGTCTGAGGGTACCCAGTAGGACCCCCGCAGGGGTGCAACCGGGTGATGGCGGTGGTAACTGAGGTGAGCAGGTGGAGCTCTCAAAAATATGTAACGGAAGCGTCTAGACCAAGACGAGTTCCGCTACAAGGAGGAGGGGGGAGACAACCGTGAGAGGGATAAGCACTAGATTGACTAAGGAAAAGTTCCCCCACAGGAGGTATCTACTTATATACAGTGATCGGCGGTCAAAGCCAGCCGATCGAGGACCTCAGTCAGGAAAACAATCACATGACATCTGTAACGGGATGTTCCCGCTACATACGCCCTCCAGCTCAACGCTGGCGGTGAGCTCATACGCTCAGAAACATTATTTCGAGTCCACATTCAATTGCAAGTCCGGAATGGCGTCGAATCCATCCACGAAAGTAATTGTCAATATTAGTAAAGTGTCAATCAAAAATCAAAAATCAATCAATGTCAATCACACATCATTCTTGTATCCACCCGCCCTCCTCGACGACGGACGGACCTCATTCATCATCAAAGGATTCCTTCACGGTCTCAGTGGTCTCAGCAAGCGAAATTTTGATCGCGTGTGAAGCAATACCCGGTGGTTTCCCGGGCTTCTCCGATTTCATTGCACTCATATCAGGGCAGTTTCGAGACAACTGCCCGCGTTCTCCACACTCGAAGCAACGTCCCTCGCTCAGGTACGTAGCTCGAGTCTTGGCAGGCAACTTTTTGCCGTCACGCATCACGTAGTCCCACGCCTTCTCGTTCTGGTCCTTCTTTGGAGTTTTGACAGCAGCACTTGACACCGAGAAAGCTTGCCCTCCGTTGCGGCGCTTCTCGTTCTCTGTAGCCAAGATATCTTTTTTCCACTTGGGCTGATGTCTCGGCGCCTCAGCTACATCACTGTCGGCATCCTCAAGGTCAATATTCACGATTACCTCAGCAGCTTCAGCCCTGCGAGTAACCTCATCCCAAGTCGACATTTCCGGATCCAAATTCGCGCGGAACATTTCCTTGCAAATTGACGTCTTCAAGCTACGACAAAACATCACCACTTTCTCTTGGTTTGCCTCCAGACCAATAGTATTAAATATCTGCTCCCACTTGGCCTTATGGACTAATACAGATTTGTCATCTTGCTTGCACACATTCAATTTCGAGCGCTGTTTCTCACGGAAATTCACAGGGAAACAGAAGTTGAATAGACCCCAGAAGAAGTCTGATAACGTCCAGGTATGTTCATCATTTTCCACGCGACTGTTATAGAACTCTCGTGCACGGCCAGACATGAAATACAACAAGTAGAACGTTTGTTCATCAGCGGGGACGCGGCCGAGCTTTAGGTAAGCTGTTCCCTCTTTCACAAATCGGTGGAACGCTACCGCATTAGGAGATCCGTCATACTCCTTCGGCGGAATTGGCTTCAAGATCATTTTCGGTTCATTTACTGAGACGTTCACAGTCTCTCCTTGCCTGGAACGACGTGGCACTGTCCTGACATCCGAGGGATTGCTGGACGGCGGCTCGGATGGAGGGGGTCCGCCAAAGCTATCGACGTTGCGCAACGCACGCTCGATGAAGCTTCCCGCCCCGGTACGAGTTGCAGGAGTCCTCTCACGTGCGTCTGTCTGGGCATGCGTCGGCGGCACATCAATGCTGATATGACGCTTGATGCTGTTCTTCACAGCAGTCTGGGCCTGGGACAAGCTTTCATGTGATAATCAACAAGAAATAATGTCGAAAAGAGAACTGAATTCGAAGACTGGAGAATACAACCAGGTAGCTACAGTATTTATACCCAAATCCAGTCTGAGTCATATCTACAACTAACGAGTCATAAGGCTATGTACCGCATGGAACACTGGTCATGGGTTGTAGTAGAATCTTCCGGAGCATATGTCGCGCAGCCTTGAATCAATAAAGATGACCCCTGTCCCCCAAGCCCGGACCGTCAGATGCTGTGATCCGTGATAAGATGATCCGTGTCGAGATAAGATGAGATCGTCGAGGATAAGATGAAAAAGAGTCGAATTATGACATTACCCCCTCTCTAGGGTTGATGTCCTCATTGACTAGGTCAATGGGCATGAAGACATTCTTGTAGGGATCGAAGAGTTGTCGCTGGGGATATGGAAGGCGCTCGTCCTTGGGTTTGTAGCGATGGATGAGATAATCCCAGTGTCCAGCTTCGAGCGTTGGCAGGAGGCAAATGCGTGTGTCTGGGTTGGATTGTTTCCTCTGCCAATCTCTCAGGATCTTCTTTGCGTGGGCAAGGTGACGCGATGGTTCCCAAGTATTTTCGCTATGCGGCCAGCCCTTCCATTTGACCAAGTACTGTTTTCCTCGGCCGACGTTTCGCTCTTTCACAATCTCTTCGACTTCCCACTCCTCTGCTCCTCCGATCATCTTGGCTACGGGTCTCTTCTCTTGGCGATGGGGGGGTGGTTTGTGATATGGTGTCAATAGTGACTCGTTGAACACCGGGTGTCTTCGGTCCGTGTCCGGCAGATCCAGCTTCCATGCGGCCGCTCCAACCTTCTCCAGTATCTTGTATGGTCCTAATCTCTTGTCGCTCATCTTCTTTGATGGTCTATCCGTCTCGATATTTTCCCCTTCTATGTACACCTTCATCCCAACCTTCAACTCCGGAACTTCTTTTCTTTGTTTATTGTAGTATTTTTTCATTTTTTCTTTTGCTTTTTCAAATGCTGCTTTTGCTTTGTCTCGTATTTCTTTGATTCTTCTTACAAATTCCTCCGCCGACTCGTTCCTTGACTCCATCCGCTGCTCCACTCCCTTCCATGGGTGATATCCGTGATTGGCGTAGAATGGTGATATTTTGGTAGACGTGTTCATCTTGTCGTTGTATGCGAACTCTGCCATTCCCAGCCATTCCGACCAGTCCGTCTGATGGTAATTGACGTAGATGCGGAGATAGTGCTCAATCTCCTGATTCATGCGTTCCGTTTGTCCATCTGTGATGGGGTGATATGCGGTCCCCGGATTCATTTCCACGCCCAACATCCGATTTGTCTCCCTCATGAAGCCCTTGATGTAACGCGAATCCCTGTCGGTGATGATCTTGCGGGGGATCCCGTGGTAGCGGAAGACTCGGTCCCTGGTTAATCGTGCGACTCCTTCACTGCTGATGTCAGTACTGATTGGTTCGACATGGATCATTTTGGTGAAGGTGTCACACCACACATGAATTGCGTCATACCCGTTACTGACCGGCAGGGGTCCGATTTGATCCATGGAGATGATTTCCCACGGCGCATTTGGGACCGCATGCGGGTGCAGAGTCCCTGTCCTTGCTCTCCTGGTCTTGGTCCGCTGGCACGCCTCGCACGTCTGGATGTATTTCCGGATTTGGTTCCCCATCCTTGGCCACCAGTAGTTCCTTTCCACCATTTCCTGCGTTCGATTGATTCCCGCGTGTCCGACCAAGGGTATGTCGTGGTGTAGCCCGATGATCTTGTCTCGTAGTTCCTCGTCCCTCGGTACGTAGAGCTTCCCGTGGTATGTGATGAGCCCGTCTTCCTTGTTCCATCCAGCGAGTGACTCCTCCAAGGCCGCCTTGACGCTTCCATCAATTGATCGAGTGGCCTTGATCTCATCAACTAGCTGCTGATCTTGTCCCTCGAATGTGACTTCTTGTGATCGGAAGAACTCGGGCTTCAGTAGGGTGATGTCCTTGTTGTCATTCTTGCCCTGATCGTGATCCGCTCGTCGAGATAAGAGATCCGCCTTGCGGTTGAGTGCGCCGGGCCGGTGTCGTAAGGTGAAATCAAACTCCGCCAACTCCGTGATCCATTGTGCTTGCCGTCGATTGAGCTTCTGCGGTTTTCGGAAGTACTCAAGATTTTGATGATCGGTGAAGATCTCGAACGTTTCCGTGGCTCCCAGAAGTAACTGCCCCCATTCGTCCAGTGATAGCATGATTGCGAGCATTTCCTTGTCATAGATCTCGTAATTTCGCTCGGTTTCGGTCAATGCATGCGAAATAAATGCGATTGGGCGCCAAATGCCGTCTTGGTTTTGGCTCAAAACTGCTCCTGTTGCCCCTTCCAAAGCATCGGCTTCCAGACGATATTGGCCGGTGTCATTTGGCAGTGCTAAGACCGCATCCTCCGCGATTCTCTTCTTCAACCCATCAAATGCTGCACGCTCATCTGCACCCCATGACCATCCTGCCTTCCCTGTCAGCCGAGTCAACGGCTTGGCAACCTCCGCGTATCCCCGGACAAAGCGTCGATAGAAGTTTGTGAACCCTAGAAATGCTTGGACTTGTTTGACGCTCTTTGGTTCCGGCCATTCCATCACGCCCTTGATCTTGACTGGGTCCATCCGCATCGAATTGTGTCCAATAATTACACCCAAATATTCGATTTCCGTGCGTTCGAACTTGCACTTTTCGGGTTTCAGGTATAGCTTATGTTTCTGGAGCAATTCGAGCACTCGTTTCGTGATCCGCCGATGTTCGTCCAAGTTCTCTGTGAAGATCAGTATATCGTCCAGATAGACTACCACGTGACCCTCGTTGATCAACTCTCGGAGTATGTCGTTCATCATGTTTTGGAACGTTGCCGGAGAATTCGTGAGACCAAAGAACATAACTAAGGGCTCGTACAGCCCTCGGTTCGTGCGGAATGCAGCCTTCCACTCGTCGCCCTCTTTGATCCGTACATTGTTATATCCCCACCGGATGTCGAGCTTGGTGAAGAACTTTGCGCCGCATAGATTATGGACCAGTTCGGAGATCAGCGGTAGCGGGTATCGATTCCGGATTGTCATCTCATTCAGCTTCCGATAATCTTGGACGGGGCGTAGCGCGCCATCCTTCTTCTTGACAAAGAAGAATGCTGATGCCATGGGTGATTTTGATGGCCTGATCCATCCACTGGCCAGGTTCTCTTGCAAGAATTCGTTGAGTTTGACTTGTTCATTGCGTGATAACGGGTACACCTTGCAGTCCACTGCTTTGGAACCAGGTTTGAGCTCGATTGCATGATCCCATGCTCGTCGGTCCGGCAGCGAGTCGAACAATTCCTTGGCGAATACCTTGACGAATTCCCGATATTGATCCGGAATTCTCCCCTCGGTCATCCTCTCCTTCTCCTTTTCTGCTTCTTCTGCGAATTTCTGTGCCGGCGTTTCCTTTAGCCGTAAATCCACTTCCTTCCCAAAATTGACCAACAGGATTGATTCTCCCTCTTCCAGATCTGGTGCGTCCTGGTCCAAGTCGATTGCATCCATGTCAATCATCGCCTGATGTTCCTCGTGACCCCTCATGTGACACCGCTCTGGGCATCGGCTGAATTTCATGGTCTGCTCCTGCCAATCCACCTCGGGGTTGTGTTCCATCAGCCAATCAAGGCCGATGAAGATCCGGGCTTTCCCTAAGCACGTCAGAAGGAACGTGCGTGTCTCCATATGAGGACCAATTCTCATCCTCAGATCGACATAGTGCGTGATCCGACCGCTGATGTTCTCGGTGTTGTCGGCATTACGGGCCACAATGGGTTGTGGGAGCTCTTGGATATCCAACTTTTCCGCCCGTGCGTAGTCGGTGTCGATGCAGCAGGTACTGCAGCCACTATCAAGTAGCGCCTTGACTCCGCGCGTTTTTCCTGAGTCTAGGCCCGTGATCTGGACATATACGTCCATCGAATGCCTCTTCCTTTCGGCCTGGTAACTGCGCAATTCCTGCGCCAACCTGCTGGGTTGGGGGCCCTTCTGTTTCTCGGCCGCCAATTTCCTCTGGATGGCATCTGGCACCCTGGTGCGTTTGGGTGCTTCTGGAACCTCGATTTCGGCAGATTCCTTAGGCGCTTCCTCCTTTTCCAAGGATTGAGCCTTCGGAGCGATGCTCCCCTTTTCGGTCTTTGTTGACGTGGTTCCTTCTCCACGAGCCATAAATACGTATGAATCCAAAATTAATTTATCTGCAGCTTTCTGATCCTTTTTACTTTGTAAATACTCTCTATTTAAAGCTATTTTTCGTTGTTGTTCTTTTTCCATATCAGCAATGAGAAAATCGTGAATGTTGGTACGTAGTGAGTCCGAGATTGTATATGTATGTGCAGAATTGTTCATGTCTTTAATCGAAACAAGTACAGAAAATCGTACATAGTCCGGACGCTCCACCTCCTTGGCTAGAGGAGTGGAGCGCTTCAAAAACCCTTCTCGCGCAGCTTCTTGGCAATCTCCTTGAGGAACTCGTTGTCCTTATCCCCGTTCTCGATCTCTTCCAGCATTGTGGCCCGATTGAAGAACGTGCGTTTCTTCTTGGGCTCCGGACAATTCCGCGCGATGTGCCCAGGCTGCTGACAGTTGTAGCAGATGATATTGCAGCCGCGGGCATGGGTGCGATCAATTTCCATTGGGACCGGTTTGTTGGCAGCCAGTCGGGTCAGAGCAGGTGTGGGCGCCG